AATGGTAATTTCTGTCCTCACTAGACATTAGTGATATCGTCAATCCTGAACGGGATTCGAACCCATGACCTCTGCGATACCGGTGCAGCGCACCAGGCGAATCGTAGAGCTGAGGAGAACTGGAGTGGTACATTTTAACCCCCCTTCTCCTTTCTCTCGGAAAAAAGAAAGGAATGCGAGATTCGAATCGTATCATTAAAGCTCAAGTGCACATTCTCGTTTTTTCGAGCCCAGGGGCGACGAGTTTGGCATTGCATTGGCCAAATATGCAGGAGGAAATATCCAGTTGGATGATGAGAAGGGAGTCCTGGCACTCGGAAACTTGAGCCATAAATACATCGACGATCCGGATCTTCGTGGGATACTTGCAAATGCAGAGCTGGATGCCAGCAAAATGAATTCTTTTGCAGAAAGTGATAAATTGCTTCTCATTACTTCTGTTATTTACAGCGAAAAGTTTGAACTGAAAGGGGAAAGAATGCATCAGGTAAACACCCAATTTTATCTCCGTTTATAGGGTACTATCTTGACTGGGAAAAGTCATCCGGTCATCTGAAGTTGATGCCGTTAAACAATGTCGTCCCATCAAAGCCAACTTTATTTCCAAATTCCAAGGAAAAAAGACTTCCGTCCATCCAAAAACGGTAGAGATTTTAAAAGAAAAGGTGTTTTCATTTATTTGATCTACAGACTGAAGAAGCCATGGAAGTGGGAAATCTTCCACAGTATTTGCAGTTTCTCAACCTAAACAAGACCTCGGCTATGAGGATTCATGCTAAGCACATGTACATTCCTCCAGATGCAGCGGCAAGGAACACAGAAGCACCCTTTCTCTTCAAGTGCTGCCGTGTCGGTTACAATAAAGAAACTAATCGACTGGAAATCTGCAAAGGAGAGTATGTCGGGAAAGTTGTAACTCTTCACAGAGCAGTGGATGCCCCATTCAGTGAGGAGGGCGCCGAGTATGACGACACTCCGGTAGAAACTACAGGTCAGACAGATTTACCAGGTAAATGTAACAGATACGTACGTAGAAACATGAAATAGTGATATTTACTGAAACGTCCTCCTCCAATCGATATATGTTTATAGAAAGGTTGGCTCTATCGTTAATATTGCGTAACACACACGCACAAAAAAAATCTTTAAGCCATAATCTCTAATTATCAGAGTCGTTTCCATGAAAAGAAAAACCACCACTAGTTCTTTTATCCATCTGGATGGCTGTGATGGGATCAGCCGCAGTTATTACTTATAAGTTTTCGGCAATATCTCGGGTATCAGTTCAAATCTCAGCAAATTTTTCAGCTATCAGTTAATTTTATAGATCTTATATCTCGTCCATCAGCTCGAAAACGAGCCTTTTTGCAGCAAATGGTTTTCCTATTGAATCGTAGACAAATGAATAACGTGATAAAAGAAATGGTCTTCCAAACTTCGTTTTACATTTTTCTTTGTGGATGCTTTCGCCGATGCTTGATAAGGATATTAATGATACTTTCCTTGCACTTTGCATTTGGCCTCAAAGGTCAATGTGGTTACTGAAGCATGCGTAAACTCACAGCCCCGCAGTGGTACAAGGGAAGGCTGTCGATAGAACCCCTCCCCTAATTTTCGTTGAAACAACACATATCTAAATTGTTTTGCATTCACGTGAGTATAACTTTTTTGTTGGTATACACATGACGTCATTAAGCTATCTTGAATCCTCATTATTGTATTTCACTGTGTTCTCAGAACGTCAGAAAATTTAATGAAGAATTTATATTATGCAATTTATTTCATTTTTATGGCAACGCAACTTGAGCAAGCGAAATAAACAAGCAAAGAAACAAAAAAAGAACGACACAAAAAACGAAGACTTCTGTCAAAAATTACGAGATTTGGCTAGATGTGCATGTCAAAACTCGGTTGCTATGGCAATGCCATTTGACCCAGAACAATAGTTGACATGCCTAAAACTTGGCAAACAATGAATGAACAGCTACTGAAAGTCTCAGCATGACAGGGTAAATCTTCTTTTCAGGGTTCAGAAAAAAATAATCTCTAGGAGGGAGGGGGCTGTCCCATTGCTCGTACGAGGGTCAAGATACTGTAAGTTTTCTATTCTTTAATCAACCAGACTGTCTCACAGCCAAAGATATAGAGAAACTGGACAATATAACTAAAGTAGTGCTGTTAACGGAGAAGACGACAGCACAGCGTAAAGCTCGCGTGAGCAAGTATCTACATTGCGTAAGTTTCATGCAACTAATCAGCGCCTTCTCCTGTTAGTGGCCCGAACAGCAGTCAATTTGGGTTTTCTAGAATAGTTCGTTCTGTCTTTTGGTTGGTGTGTCTTTATTTTTCTGACTGCATGTTTGTTTGTGCGTCTGGTTGTCAGTCGCTGCGTGGACGAGTAGTTAGTCTAGTTAGGGCGCTGTCCCTGAAATGCGGAGATTGCGTTAGACTCCAGTTCGGTCCTTCAGTGGGTCAATCGGTCTGTTTGTCAATCGGTATTTTGATCTGTCTGTCTAACTGTCGATCTGCCATGTGTTTGTTTGTACGTCTTTCGTCTATCTTCTGATCTGTGCTCGACACAGTGCAATCACAATTACCCGTTATTTTCATGCATGGCCGTAACGTAATGATTCTCCCTAACAAAACGAGCTCACTTGGCTATCTCTAATGTGCTTATCGATCTGGCTTTCATAAGAATTGTTTCTCAGTAATCATTAATTATACTGGCATTCAATTTCTTTCCATAAAGATTTATAGACGACTAATTTTTTTTCCACAGTTTGAAGAAGGACTGATGACTGACATGAAACTCTTGAACCTTGACGAGCCAATGACATTGAAAGATTGCATGTGCTTTCCTGGAAAGTGTCTACCTCCTTGCGAAGAGGGTTCAACCGAGGTGGATCTGACATCTCTCCTAATAGCAGAAATTCAGGATTTTGCAATTGTTTTTAAAGTGCTTGATGGTAAGAACATATATATAATATCTCTTCCGCTGTTACGCAATCCCTTACATTCTATGCCTCCCTTGTGATCATGCGCGCATCCACTATATTCACTATATTGGNTGTCCCTGAAATGCGGAGATTGCGTTAGACTCCAGTTCGGTCCTTCAGTGGGTCAATCGGTCTGTTTGTCAATCGGTATTTTGATCTGTCTGTCTAACTGTCGATCTGCCATGTGTTTGTTTGTACGTCTTTCGTCTATCTTCTGATCTGTGCTCGACACAGTGCAATCACAATTACCCGTTATTTTCATGCATGGCCGTAACGTAATGATTCTCCCTAACAAAACGAGCTCACTTGGCTATCTCTAATGTGCTTATCGATCTGACTTTCATAGGAATTGTTTCTCAGTACTCGTCAATTATAATGGCACTCAATTTCTTTCCATAAAGATTTATAGACGACTAATTTTTTTTCCACAGTTTGAAGAAGCACTGATGACTGACGATAAATTCTTGGCCCTTGACGAGCCAATGACATTGAAAGATTGTGCTTTCCTGGAAAGTGTCTACCTTCCTTGCGAAGAGGGTTCAACTGAGGTGGATCTGACATCTCTCTCAACAGCAGAAATTCAGGATTTTGCAATTGTCTTTAAAGTGCTTGATGGTAAGAACAAATATATAATATCTCTTCCGCTGTTACGCAATCCCTTACATTTTATGCCTCCCTTGTGACCATGCGCGCATCCACTATATTCACTATATTGGGTATATGCTTGTCATAACATTAACAAACTATCTCGACTCGCCACGACAACGGAAAATTCACTAATTATTTATACAAAGGGTTTACTGAGCAGTAGACTGGCTGTGTGAGCCTGGAGAACTTGAGTTAAGACTGCTAACTTTTCAAACAGTTTATTTTTCCAGTGTCACGCTGTCTAGTACATGCCGTTTTGAGATCCGATAGTAACAGACAAATTGGATGACTAAGTTCTCACGAGATTCGTAGTTTAAATATAAATTCATTTTCCAATAGGCTTGATCATCAGCGTCGTCCTCACACTTGCTTAATTAAACTCCCTGTTTCTACTTCTTCATCGTCAGACTGGCTTGTGATATTTTAGGAAAAAATTAGCTCCTGTCCCGGTTCCAGGGAACTCTAAAGAGTTACTCATGTTTTTCAACTGTATCCAACAGAGTTACCTGATGAACAGTGGAGCGAAATGGAGACTTTGGCAGCCTGCCCCGATTAAAGGAAATGTGGCCTAACTCGTAGAACTAATTCATTTTGTTTTTTTTTAGATCGTTTGTCAATGAACGACGTACAATTGTATTATCGTTGTTGATACTCTTAAAGTAACAAGGAGGAAGACTAGACTGATTTTCAATATAAGCATGCATATCTGAACTTGAATTTCCGAAATGTAATGATATTTCAAAAGTATAGTGTAAAGACAAAATTGCTGATTGNTTCCAGGGAACTCTAAAGAGTTACTCATGTTTTTCAAGTGTATCCAACAGAGTTACCTGATTAACAGTGGAGCGAAATGGAGACTTTGGCAGCCTTCCCCGATTAAAGGAAATGTGGCCTAACTCGTAGAACTAATTCAGTTTTTTTTTTCTTTTAGATTCTTTGTCAATGAACGACGTACAATTGTATTGTCGTTGTTGATACCCTTAAAGTAACAAGGAGGAAGACTAGACTGATTTTCAATATAAGCATGCATATCTGAACTTGAATTTCCGAAATGTAATGATATTTCAAAAGTACAGTGTAAGGACAAAATTGCTGATTGTTAAAAGAATCCTGAAAGTGCCGATCATGTAGACGTAAAGAAATAAAGATGGTTTCACTTTAATTAAACGGATGAAGATGGCGATTTGTCAGGTCATAGTAACATATGTATAATTGCCATAGAAACTTAGATTAAAAAGCTGCCTTCTGACTTTAATGACAGTTTTTTCTCATTTTCTCAATAAATGGGCTCAGTAAACTTCTGAGGGTAATTCCTTTTTGAAAGTTTTGATAGAGTAAGCTAAGAGCGAAGGCAACTGCTTTGTAGGCTTTACAGGTATTTTCATCCTCCTCAAAAATAGCTACACATTACCTCTGTTCTTGCTCTCGCCTTACTTTGCCGAACTCGTTGCTAATGGGAAGAGAGCATGAAGAATAATCAGATCACATCTTAGATAAGAAACTCCAGGATGGTCTAGAAATAGTCAATCCTGTAAAAAGCAATTGCCCGCGTGGACAACCCGAGCATCTTTACTGGTATTTTCATCCTCCACAAAAATATTTACACGTCGCAACTGGTAACATTTTCGTGTAAGGAAAGGGTGCCGTGTGTAGAAATAACTTGAAACAGATTGCCTTGGGATTTTATTGAGGCTAGGACCTATATGGAGGATTATTTCTCTTATCGTTCATCCTCNTTTCAAAAGTATAGTGTAAAGACAAAATTGCTGATTGTTAGAAGAATCCTGAAAGTGCCGATCATGTAGATGTAAAGAAATAAAAATGGTTTCACTTCAATTAAACGATCCCGGCAAGTTTCTCGAGAGGTAAAGGGGATTTGCACTTTATTGACACGGGTCTTCTCTGGTTGAGCTGTCCTCTCTGATCTTTAGCAAATTAACACGCTGGGCACCGGCGGGTCAAATGACTGTGGAGGATCAAACATCTTTGTAGAATACTGTCCCAAACACTTTTACGCCACTCTATAACTGATTAGCAAAGCATTTGATATTACTATTAAGATATTCAACCTTCGAGAATCAACGCCTGAATAGGAACTTCATTGGTGGGCCTAGGCAAGGCCAGTCGACAAACCCAAACATGACCAGCGATGGAAGCTTTTGTTCCACGGAAAAAAGACAAACAATTCAACTTGGGGGCAAAAACTTTACTGTAGAGAAAAATGTTCGTAGTTATAATTTTGAACCTGCTTAATTAATATCCACTTGAATTTACGCCCAACACTGTTTATAACTGGCCTTAGCCATATTGGTAAGGGATTTTTGGTTTGGGGCGAGTGGTGCACTGCAGCTGGTCGATCGTCCCCACGTTAGGTCGCGTGACCCGTGTAAAAGAGATTCGCACATAGTGGAAAGTTTCAGAATTGAAGTCCACCGTGAAAATCAATCGACGAGTATTGTTTCGTTGCACCCATGTTACAGCTTGCGATTTCCACGGCTTTATTGAATCTTTTTTCTGAAACCATCTCCACAAGAATCTTCCCGTTGTACGGACTAGGTAACTACTACGATCGGTGAGGAAAACAACTTCAAATAAGAAGGCCAGAGTCGCTCGGCTGGGCCTCCTCGTTGATATATTGGGCAGAAAAATGTTTCTCTGGCCAATCAGCGGGAAGGAATTCAAACTCTTCTGGAACTGGTTCGGTAAGGGTAAGTGCCCAGGGGCTCTCGCACTTTTGATGTAAAATTTCGCCCGAAAAACCTTTTGCCCGGAAATATCGTATCGTCCCAAAGTAGCTGCCCCAGGGTCTCCGAAGATGTCTACCAAGTTACCCCCTAAATCCTGAACAACTAGTGACCTTTAAAAATTAGCAGTGGTACACGTAAAAGGCATTTTAAGCTAAACGATACTCGCTAATTTGACTCTCTGTTTTATCGCCTTTTAAGGAAAATAAACTAACTTTACAAAATGATGGAAATAGACTATTAATACAACTGTCCATTCAGATCTTGGAAAACTACCTTTCGCGGTGATTTTTTAATAAGTTTACTTACTTTCTAGTTCAGTGCGTGCAAACAATACTACCAGAACGAGGCTGGCGTGGATATTTTAACAACGTTTCATTAATTTATAATGTGCTTTATTATGTACATTTGACAGAAACTGAAAAACAGGAAAGAGTGCTCATAATTGTGACAGAAAATAAGAAATCCGCTCTCATCCATGACGTGAATAATTATTTCACCTTTTTGTGGCCAAGCTCCACCTTTATATTCAAGAAGAAAGTAAGTTGCCGTTTAAGTGTTGTTTAGTTATTAGTACTAAACCTTACGGTTTTAACCAAATGAATACTTAACTTCTTATTGTCAACATTTATCAAACGAAGAGAAGTGTGCAGTGATAGATGGTTTAGTTTCATAAACGTACTTCTTGCACAAATGAATCGAAGACAAACCTTTTCTAAATTAAATTCTTCATTTCACTTTAAACTACTCCAAGCTAATCCACCATAAATCTTGGAGTCACCGCCATCTAGTGGCTAATCCAGACCTGCCGCTGGGATGGTGAGGTCTTATTCCTCTTTCATTCTGTTGTTTATATAATAAGTTAAAACCTCAAAGATAGCGCCATTGCATTTAGTCTGGGGTACACGGTCCCTATTTTTCCTTATTAGAGGTTTTTGGGTTTGTCCTGCTTTGGCACATGTAGGATGTTATTCGATGTATCTTTTATCCACTTTGTTGTAACCTTATTGTATCAATTAAAACATATGTTGGCCCTGGCTGACCAACGCGCCCATGCCTCATAACCTTTGAGTAAGTTCCGTTGTGCGCGTAGTGAAGACAAAATCAGATTTATCAAAAATTCGTATTTTGTTTTGGATTCGAAACAGGGAAAACCCGGGAGCTAACGGTCAGCAGCGGAAGATCGAAGCTAAATGTCTTTCAGTGAACGGAAGCCAATACTTGAATCAAACATAATAAAGACATTTTGCTACATAACTGACAAAGA